GTCAAAAATGTTTGCTTAATCAAATTATACTTAACTTTTGATAAGCTTTATCATCTCAAAACAATGTTTAATCAATTTCCTATGTAAATGTTTTTCAGATGAAAGAACAAGTCCTAGAAGCAAAGTTTAATCTTCCCAGCAAGTCATTAAAAAAAAAAAATTGTTTCTAAGCTTTCATGCTCATAAATACCTTTCTAGGGATCTGAACCAGCAAGTCTCTTAAGCCATGACTTTTTTTTACATAAGCTTGAAATTGTCAACATAGAAAATAAATTTCAAAGCTGCAAATGAAAGTAATTTAAGAATGTTTAACTACTAACATCTAACACTACAGGCTAAATGTGATACTTTTTCCTGTAGTTTTCAAATACAGACTCAAAAAATCATTGGGTATTAAATAATTTCATCCTGCAAAACTTCTTCACCTCTACCAATAACACAGGTTACACATTTAAACAATATTGATCTCTAGATCCAAACTGTATGAGATATATATATATATATTCTTGTGCTGATTTTAGCTCTAAATAATTTTCTAAGGAAGTAAAATCCTTCCTATATATTTTTAAAGCCTTTCACTCCCTTCCAAAGTTCCACAAAAAAAGGAGTAAGTCATGTTCAGAACATTTTGAATGTTTCTTTTAATGCGGAAGTACCATGAATAAAAATGTCTTTACTGCCAATATTGTCAATATTTTTAAATAAAAAACCTATACCCAAAATATTCAATGGATAATAAGTGTAGAGCAAAGAACTAGACAGGAATTCATACCTAAGGATTTTTTAGTACCCAAACTGAAACTAAAATCAGTATTTAGCAACAAATCTCCAGCAGAGATTATGTATTTTAAAGGATACATAGTAACATCTTACTAAAATGTCATCAGGAAATAGTGTTCTGCATAAGCAAGCAAGGCAGAATTTGGGAATTCACTCCCTTTATAATTAGGCTTGGGCTAAAAATCTTTCCAAGACTTGCTATAGAATTCTTTCTTAAACAAGGAATCCCGAACACAGCTCACTGTAAAATGCAGCACTGACAGCACAGTGCTTCACTCCGAGAGTCCATTTCGTGTTCCTACACTATTTGTAGGTTTCCATTTTCTTTTGTGGTGGTGATTCCAATTGTCCTTTTCTCGTCAACCCTTGGCAAGCTGTCCTGGGATCATTTAGTGCACACATGTAACAGCCCGTGCACAGAGTCTGGGTCTAAGGGATACCTGAGCCAAGCGTGTGTGCTGCTCAAAAACTTTCTCTGCACAACTGCTCATTTTCTGCCCTGTTCCAGATAGCCGAGACCGATAAACCATCTAAAAATGTTCCCATACCCTAATTTCCCAACTGCTTTAGCCTATTCTCTAGGGTTAAGTGCATATCCACACATGTAACTAAAAACTAAGATTTCAAACATCAGTATTGAGTTCACTATTTACTTTTTCAGAACTTTTTCTTTGGAAAGTAAGTACTTTTTACTTACATGTAAACATGATTTTCAAAGAAATTTCCACACTCAACATAAAAGCAATATTTCAACTTACAGTATTCACAGGCAGACCAAGAAACCAGCAGTGATAAGAAAATTTTTCAATTTCTTGCAATTTTTTCTTTGTAGATAAAGAAATATAAAGTCTTAATATTTTTTCCTATTGCATTTTACTTCTTTTGGCCCTAATCCTGTGCTTAGAAGTTATTTTAAATCTTCATTATGAAACTAAAGAAAAGATAGTAACATGCATGAGCACAAGCAACTGGATGTACTGGAGGCAGTACATTTTTCTATTTGATTCATGAATCTGTTTACCAGTCACGTTGATTTGTAAGGGCAAAACAGTATGTGAATCTTTTTTTTTAAAAGGTGCTTGGGAACAACTTCTAAATTATGGCAGTGGGTATAGCCCCTTGCCTACATCATGAGACATACACAAATTTCAGTAGAATGTTTGCATTTAAATGCTGTCAAAAGTACAAATTATTTTTATTTGGAAACATACCACTTCTTGACACTGTTGCCTAGAAGCAGCCATAATTACTTCCAGAGGCAAGACATGTATATACACACATTGCAAGTAACACACACAAACACCCATACACCCATATAAGGAGTACCTCTATAGGCCTATAAGCGTGCTATCATATGTACATAAAAACATGTTTTTAAAAAGTGAAATATAATTATTTCCTAGAATAGAAGCAACATGTTTCAGATATTCTAACAATAGAAAGATAGAACTTTATATTATTTGTATATTCTTTCTGAATAAAGAAATCAAAGCGTATGAACTTAGAAAAACTTGAATGTTATGAGACTTCTCGTTCAAGAAAGTGTTATCTTCTACTCTTTCATACCAAATTTTTTTTAAAAAGGTCTTGTCTTGGGAAGACTATTTCCTTACGTTCAATTTGCAAGTCAAGAAGCATTTACAATCTAAAAATCCAGAATAAGCAATTAAATAGAACTCAGATGTAGGTTGTTTTAATTGCTTAAATCATTTTTAAAACATAAGGTAACTTGACATTTTAAAGCAATTACAATTATATTCCAAAGAAACACTAGGGTGCTTCACATTATGATTTAAAAAGTAATATTTCAGATTAAATAAAAGATCAAAATTCCCATATAGATTATTTTTAAAGTCTTAATAAATTGTCCAAGGCGGGGTGGGTGGGGAGGGAGACATAAAGAAAACAAAAAAAAAGCTATTAAATGAGAGAAGTTATTTAGAAGTACCTTGGCCTTAAAAGGAAGATAAAAAAAGGAGCCTTTGCTGGCTTCAGCTAAATTCATTTAAAAACAACAAGCAGGGTGGGGAGGATGCAATGAGAGCACAGGTAATTTTAAAAGGCATTGTCTAGAAACTAGAAATGAGGAGAAAACAACCTCAATGCTCTATGATTACCCAAGAACGGGTTTAGCCAGATGAACAAGTCGGCTACAAACCCTCCCCAAGGCATCTGAAAGACTATCAAACAAAACTTTATTAAACTGGATTACATGGGCTCACTCATTAGACGTCGTCGAAGGCCACACGTTTATGATCAGGTGGAAACGTTGATGCATGGGATCCAAACCAGGCCCAGGTCATCTTTTTAGTTCGTTTTCATTAGGACAAGCATTGTTAAGACAACCTGCTATTAAATTTCTTTGCCAGCAGGTCAAGTTCCAGAATCCCAGGTATAAGCATTCAGAGCACTAAACCCTGACAGGGTTGCGAGGCTGTTTAGATATGCTCTGACTACATCCCGGCAATAAGCAGTCGATTACATCGTTATATGCAACTGCACTCTCTTTTATGAGGAGACTTTAACCTCATGAAAACAGTGTTCCCTCCTTCCTATCTCCAGTTTCAAGGACTTTCAAAGAAGAAAAAACAATAGTTCAAATGTTTCAAAGTTATTTCTACTTCCCCTCAATCAAAATTCAGGTAAGAAACCCATTTTCAATGTGTCCTTCCTTAATATAACGTATTTTCCATAAGAGGATATTTTACTATTTCTATATGGAATGTCTTCTTGGCCTTGTCACTTGTATTTTAAAAACTTCAGACTGAGTTTATTGTATGTTTAATGGGTGTTTAACATAAATATAATTTCTACTTCGGGCAGCTTATGTAGAAGCTCTCCTTTTATATACTCAATTTGTCTACATCTAAAAACTTCAGACCAAAACAACCCATTCATTTCATTGATAAAAACACAAGATGTCTTTTCTTTAAAAGCAATTTCTCAGAAAGCCCTGGAATCTACCACACGGTCGCCAACACTATTTAGATTTTAATAAGCAGTGTTTATCACTGGGATATCAAGCAATACTTCTAACACGCATACACAGTGTCCGCAGCCATATTCCTCTTATGCTCTATCTCAGCAGTGACCTTTGTTCAACGGCTTTTACTTTTTAATGCAGCAGTTAGAGATAACTACTTCATTTATCAAAACTCAATTTCCATAGTAACATCTAGCCTGGGGAGATTCAAGTCCTTACACTAATCCAACAACCCATTCAAAGGAACTGTTGAATACTTTGGTTTCCATAGCAATGATGGAATAAAACATTTTGCTAGGTCATTGCTTTTATTAGCAAACTTATTCTTTGAACTTTAGGTTAAGGCTTCATTTACTGAGAGGGGAAAAAAAACACAATCACTTCGTATAAGTTCGTTTCTTTAGGGCTGTCCTTTTAAGAAAATCACGAATAGTAACCATCTATATATTTGAAAATATTTTGGGTATTTGGAGGCTTTTAAAGCATGCCACCTAGTTTTGCCCTAAAATGGGTTCTGATATAAAGTTTTCAAATTAAAAAGCATTGAAAAGTGAACTGAAAAAATAAATACTTATAAAATTAAAGGAGCTAAACTTAACAGCATATTTTAAACAAGGATGAAATATAAGCTAGAATAAAGATAGTCTCTCAGCCGCAGCAAATATGAGCTGGGGTGGGGTGTAGAATAACTTTTAAACCACGACCTCATCTTTGCCTGATTTTAATACTCTGCAATTTCGGGCTTACCTTTCATCAAGCACAGAAAACATGCTAAACACAGATATCTTAGGCTAAAGATGAAACTACAGATAATGTATTAAGCAGTTATGCCTTAGATGCTAACTGGAAAGGTTTTTAGTGTTTAATATAGCTTTATAGAAGGCAACTGATTTGCTATGGAGGGAGAAAATGAGTTACATTTTTTTCCTTCAAGATAGAAATAGCAGTGCCATTAAAGTCTTAAAATCCATTAGTAAACATGGTTGTTTACATTTTTGGGTAATTAATTCTATGTGAGGTGACAGGGCAAGGACTTAGTGAGGGAACATCAGCCTTCCTGGAACCAGACTTTTTCACTGAACTGAATTTTGAGCCAAGCCAGTGCTGAAAAGGTAGGCCATTAAAAAATAAAAGTTGACAGAAGAAAGAAGAGATCAAACACGTGTTGGCTTTTAAAAGGATGAATACCACTTACACTATTTACACAACTCACAGAATTAACAAGAAAATTACATACCAGTATGAGTCCTCAGGTGAGCTTTTAAATGAGAAGACTTTGTATAAACTTTTGTGCAGCCTAAAATAAAGGAGAGGAAGAAGAGCTTGTCATTTGGGAGATCCTTTTGAAATCTTTACATTTGATGATTTGGTGTTTAAAATCTGGCTTTAAAGAAATCTCTCATGCTAGATGAGGTATCTGAAGCTTCGGTTTTAAAGAAGTTTTAAAGAGTGCTCCTCTATTACCTTATTAAAGTATAAAGTGATTTGCTTTACGTATCACTTCAGCAGAAAGAGCACAGATAGATAATCAAACCTAGTTACAAATGGGAAATTTGTGTTTATATTCCAGTAGGTGCCTTACACTAGCAACACATACTTCAGTGATTTAAACGTTTTTAACGGCTCTAGAGCTGACAATGTTAAATCATTACCCAAGATGACTGCAATTTTCTGTGTGCCTACATTTCTTGCTTTTTCATTTAGTATGTCATGCCATATCATGTACTACAGTCAATAAATTATACCCTGTATTAATCATAAACTAGCTAATGCCAGCAACTTGTAGATACATTCATCACCGTCATCAATTTATATTCTGTGCCACCTACATCATTCAAGAACGAGCATATGTTCATATGCTATCAGAACTATCCTTAAATCTACTGTGGACAGTTTTGTGCCTACCATCAGGATAGCAGCCTCCTCAATCCCCACTTCATTACCATACCTTATTTTCCCCTACCTTACTTATTAATCTCTTTTCAGGGTACTTAATCTAGAATTAAAAACTCCAATTTAGATTGTTATGTTAAAGTAACTCTGGCATTAAACTCGAAATTCAGGTTTTTATTTAATATTAAAGAGTCCAGAGTAACTTTTTTCCAGAATACTCTAGCCATTTTTTTAATACATCAAATAAGCATTAGACAACTAAATGGTCACATACCAGGGTAAGGCACAGAAACTGAAAAATGAAAAGAACAAGTACATGATTTTTTTTATTATCAAGCCCTATTTTCCTGTGTCAATTTAAAAGCTGAGGCTGAAGAAGGCACACACACCCCAACACTAAATGCAAGTACTGATGCCTCAAACAGGGGAGATCACCTACCAGGGTAATCACAGTAGTGGATGCGGCGTTTCTCCAAATCGGGGTTACTCCTTCTATTGTATCTGACAGGTTGGATGTTTTGCGAATTAACTGGCAGGGTGGCAGGTAAATTTGGATTGTGAATTGCCAGTTTAGAAGCAATTGTAGCAGCATAGGATGGAGGTGGGGTTAAATTCTGGAGCATCTCTGCTTGTCTATCTGGACTTCCAGGCTCTGAGCTTGGTGGTGACGGGGGAAAGTAAGTGGCTTGTTGTGGAAGAAACTGACTTGGCATTGTGTATGTGCAAGGGGGCATGCCTTGGAATTGTTTCATCGCAGTCTGCGGAACAGCAGAGGTGTGTGTGTTAAGGCCTGCCATGGCAGCTGACATAGAAACATTAAGAGTGTCCATTACTGCTGTCTGGTTTGTAGAACTGGGCATATCTAGATCCGGTGTATTCAGTAGCTGGTACAGGTGGCCCTGCTGGGGAGGGACAGAGAGATGAAGATCTGGTGTAGGAAGTTCTTGTTTGATGAAAATATTGTTCACCTCTGGAGCTGCGGTCTGGTGTGAGCTGAATATACTGGTGAACTCGGGGAGGGCCTGGGTCGGGGCCGGAGGAGGGGCAGTCGTTTCACTCTGGTGGCTGAAAATGGTAACAGGTTCTGTCTTGATTTGTGTTACGCACGGTCTCTGGGATTTGTAGAGGCCAGTTCTCAGGTGAGTGATGTCAGGGAGGAAGACGTTCATGTTGATACTGTAAGGTAGCCCTTCACTGTCAGTGAAGAACTGGTCTACGACTGAGGCACTGTCTCGTCTATACTTTTTATGCTCTGGAATTATAGAAACTGGAGGAAGCTGAGGTGTCAGATACTTCTCCATTTCACATCTTGTCTAAAAAAGAAGAGATACAAACATGCATAATCCATCCGATTCATCATTTCAGGAAGGACATACAAAAGGGTCCTTACCAAAAATTCCCCCAACAATCCGTGTGAAAAGTACTAGGGCCAACTCCTTCTAAGTGTTGCTTATAAACATATCAGGTTTATTTGCCAATTGTGTAATAACTAGTAGTTCACCAAAACCTTATGAAACTGTATAACCTGTACTTGGTAAAATTGCTCCCACAATCAACCCCAAACAAAAAGTGAAAGAGGCAAATCAAGAAAGAAAGGAAGCAAACAGAAAACATATTCCTTTCTGATGCAATAATAAAGTATATTTTATTATTACTCACGTACAAGCAAGATTCCCTGCCCAACTACTCAGTTAAGTTTCGAACTCAAGTACAGTATTGTAATATCGCCAAACTACCTTGCTTCTGTTCATGCCATATAGGCGAGTTTAACTTTTTTTTAAAAAAACTATGCAAATCTTAATAATATGGCAGTTTTTTTTTTGCCTGGATAGATATTGCTGAAATATCTAATATAAAACATTCCATGGCTATTTTGGCCTCTTTTCTCGTTTATGGTTCAATGGAAACTTAAATACAATGTTTTGAGCAAAATATAGTATCCACTGAAAGAACAAAACAACTTCACACTCGGACATTTGATCTAAATGTTGATTTTCATCAGCAGATTCTGTAATTGGTTAATATGATAATGAAATGTTCCTATTCATATCCCTATCTAAAACAGATCTTTAATTACCTAGGGGAAAATCACTCCCTTGGTAGACTGGTGCTAAGGGGCCTGTGGGTGGGGAGAGGCCGGCTAGCACAGTCATCAGCAAAACATTTATCACGTCCTCCTCAGTGGGCCAATGCTACATTCCCCCCTACTCTGTAAAAAGCTCAGTCATCCCTTACCCTCTTGGTGTCTCCTAAGCAGAAAACTGACAAACTGAAATAACCAAATCGTTTCCAAACAGTGATTTTTTAAGGACATAATCCAGCTTGTAACTAGTCTCCTGAGTCTTTTTACAGCTATCTTCTCTCCTAGTCTAACATAGATTTTTAACACTGAAAAGGAAATTTCAAAAGAAAAAAAAACCACCAACTAGAAGGCTCATAGAACTATTAACGGTAGCATCTTAATCGGTGAATAATGCAGTCATTTTTTGCTACTACTTAATTTCAAAAGTGTTTCATATCGGACCTCGTATCATTCGGTGTGGATGCAGACGGGGTTTCCCGGATAGCCACGATTTAAAAATAAAAATTATCGCTCTAGTCATGTGAGTCACATCTCTGACAAATGCCCCTGGCCCTTTCACAGCACGGCGACACTCGCAGACCCCCGGAGTAGGAGCTGGGTAGCCAACACACAATATACCAAGGGGCTATTAAATGAAGCGTCTTGAAATAAACAGAACTAAACCCCTTCATGCACTTCGCTCCCGTGCTGGTTAGTGGTTTCTGATTTTAGCTCTTCCAGCTGTTTGCATGTGGGTATGTTTCCAACTTTTTTTTTCCTTGGTACAGGCTAAAAGTCCCGGGAAGTTTTTTCTGGGCTATATGACTCCCTGCGTGGGCGAAAGAAACAGGCGGTTGCTCGAATTCGGCTGCCGGGCAAGTGTAAAAGCCAACTGCCAGCTTTCAACGCGGCTCCGGGAGGAAATTTACGCGCACATGAAGAAAACAACAGCCCTGGTCTTTTTTTGTCTTTCTTTTTAAGGGAAGATAAGCCCTCCAATACAACCTTAGCTTTTCTAACTCGCGTCTCCCAAAGGCAGCCCCCGATCGCGTCTAAAACAGGTTGAACCAAGGGGTATGAAACTAGCGCCCGGAGGGGCCTCACCCCAGCACCCCGATTTGCATTTCCACTTAACCCGAGACGACGCGGGATAGGGTGACCTCCAAGGCCATGGCACTGGGAGGAGCGGGGGATTACGGGGAAAGGCGGAATTTAAGTAAAGTTGGGCGTGAGGTACGAGGCTTCATCCTCCAAGTATAAGAAAAACAACCAAGGTGCGCGTGAGCACCTAGTTCCTTCTTCAACCATTCCCGGACGGACCGGCCAGGGCAGATTCATCTTGGACACCCTCCCTCGGGGCCCCCGACTTTCTCCCCAGGAAACACCGGTGCCCAGCCTCGGAGGGCAGGGCGGGGCTGCCCACCGCACTCGGGCTCCCGGTGCGCCCCGACGCACGCCCCAGCCTGGAGCGGCCCCTGTCGCCCGCGCGTCGCAGCGGCGGGACACGCCCGAGCTCCCCGAAGGCGCCGGCCCCCTCCTCGCCGAACCCCCTCCCCCCCCTTGTCAGGCGCTCGGGCCCGGGAACCCGAGGCGCGCGGTGGGGGCCGGGGAGGGGGGCGGAGGGGGAGGGCTGGGGGTGGAGGGGAGCGAAAAGCGAAAGTTAGCGAAAAGTTGACGAAAGGGGAGAGCAACTTTTTCCTCCTCGCTCGCTCTCTCCCTCTCTCTCTCCGAGTGGCTCTCAGTCCTGGTCAAATCATATTCCGGGCTTTTGAAATAGTGGGCGCTAGAGCACCGCCTTTGGCGTCCGCCAGCCGGGCGCAGAGGAGGGAGACCCCGAACCGGGGAGGGGGCGGAGGAGGGGGCGCGGGCCGGCGCCCACCCGGCTCCGCGGGCGCAAGGGCAGGGGTGACGACGGCAGGACAGCCACAGCCACTGGGGGAGCAAAATGGAGACGTCTTCCCGGGCTTGGAACTGTGGTCGTGAAGTTTATTCCCGACTGGTGCCCCGCGCGGCGGCGGGCGCTCCTCCGTGACTCCGGCAGCCCGCGCGGGCCGCCCAGGCGCCGGTGCCTCCAGCAGGAGGGTTCCCACCGGGCAGCCTTCCGACCCGCCGCCGCCCTTGGCCCCGTTCGGACTGTCCCGCACTCGCTCTCCTGGCACTGCCGCGAGGCCCGGTGGGGACAGAGCTGCTCCGGCGAGAATGCCCGGTCCCCGGTCTTACTTTCTCTTTCACTCCGCCTCGGGCCGAGCCCCGGGCTCCGCGCGCCCAGCCCGCTGCCGGTCCGGTCCTCGCAGCCGGCC